ACAGATTTCTGTGCAGCCTTCACCACTCTCTGCAAAGCTTTTCTTTCTGCAGCTGTGCAGCCTCCATGCCACACATTGATGCTGGAGCACAGGATGCTCTCCACTGCACACCTGTAGAAGGAGGTGAGGACTGAGCTTCCCAGACCAGCTCGTCTCAGCCGTCTGAGGAAGTAGAGTCTCTGATGAGCTTTCTTGATCAGGCTGGTGGTGTTGTTGCTCCAGCTGAGGTTGTCATTCATGTGTACACCCAAGTACTTGTAGCTGGAGACCACTTCCACCGCAGATCCTCTTATGTTCAGGGGGTGTAGATGTTTTTGTTCCTTCTGAAGTCCACAATCATCTCCTTTGTCTTCTTCACATTGATGTGAAGGTTATTCTCTCTGCACCAGCTCTCCAGGTGTTCCACCTCTTGCCTGTAGCTGGACTCATCATTGTTTGTGATGCATCCCACCACCGCTGTATCATCTGCAAACTTTACAATGTGACAGCCTGGATGGGTAGCTGCACAATCATATGTGAGCAGAGTAAACAGGAGGGGGCTCAACACACATCCCTGAGGGGAGCCAGTGCTGAGGGTTATGGTGGAGGAGGAGAGGTTGTGGATCCTCACTAACTGTGGTCTGTTTGTTAAAAAGTCTAGTACCCAGTTGCAGTACCCAGTTTTTATGATTTTTCAGCTGAGTTAACTTTAATTAACAGATTATTTAATAAAGTTAAAGTGAAAACAGGATTTCATGATAAAGCCGGCACAGTTTATTCATTTTTATTCTTTACTGATTAAAAAAACATTATTTTTTTTTATACATAAAATGTTTTTTAAAACAACATTTCCACCCTCCATCCTGGTCTTCCCGTCTTCCAGGGCTCAGAATCCGATCTTTGTGAGCACGTGAGACTCGGGGTCCGGTCATGATGTCGTCGGTCACCAAACACAAAAAACGCCTGGACTTCAGCATTAAACACGTTGTTGTCATTATTGTTTGTAAAATCTTAAAAATAAATTCAGCTGCTGCTTCGAGTAATTGCAAATGGAGGATCGATGAAAAGTTTCTGAGATCCAGTGACTCCTCCCCCTGACCAATCAGTGACCGACAGTGTTCTGACGTCACGTTTAGGTACCGGCTCAGCTCCAACGGTCCCACCAGAGAAGCAGGGACAACAAAAGGGGCCGAATCAGCTAAAAAGTACTGGTGGAATAACGCTCCAACCATAGTGAGCTGAGCAGAGATGGGGCTGAGTAGGAGTGGTGGAAAAGGGACATGATGTGCTTCAAGGACAGAGGCATGTGCTGCTAATAATAATAATAATAATAATGTCATCACAATGTCAGCACTGTACGTTTCCATACAATGGCGAAATTAGTCTCTGCATTTAACCCATCCACCACCAGGTGGTGCAGTGGGCAGCTATTGAAAGCGCCCGGGGGGCATTTTGGGGATGAGGTGTGCTGCCCAGAGACGCCACGTGATGTGCAGTGACTGGGGATCGAGCCTGGGACTTTCGGGTCCCAAGCCGGCTGCCCTGCCTCTACACCATCTCGGCCCCTAATCCTGCTAGACGAGGACTTTGAGCAACATCGTTTTTACCGGACCAAAGGATTGATGTGGATGTGGGGGGGGGACACGTATTTTATTAGTAAAACTTAGCCCATCTGTGGTTTCCACTCAATAATCCTTTCAACATAAACTATATTGATAAAATAGACATTGGGATGCTCAGTTGTGGTGATCTTTTTAGTATATTGTCTATATTTGAAGAAACAATTCCAATAAATTAAGAGTATTTGAGCTTGAGTTGCATGTAAGCTAACCAGAATTGAATTTATTCTGATTGTCAGTGAGATTAAAACTTTTCTTTCCTCCTACCTACTCAGACCTACATTGTGCCTAAAGCAGCCATCTTTGAGGCAGAGCGAAAGGAGGATGAAGTTGATGCCTTGCTGAACAACATGCGTGTCTATGGCACGTGCTGCCTGGTACTCATGGCAATAGTTGTATTCGTCGGAGTCAAGTATGTCAACAAACTAGCGCTCGTCTTCCTGGCGTGTGTCATTCTCTCCATTCTTGCCATCTACGCTGGAGTCGTCAAGACCATCTTTGAGCCACCAGATTTTCCGTGAGTAGTTTTGTTTGGCACTTTTTGTGCTGCAGTATTTTTGAACTCTTTAAAATATTTGCCATTTAAACATATTTCTTTGTGACCCCAGTGTTTGCATGTTGGGGAATCGCACTCTGCAGAACCACAATTTTGACCAGTGTCTAAAGACTGAGGTTGTAGATAACCAGACAGTAACCACCAAGGTGTGGAAGCTATTCTGCGATGGGCCGGAGCTTAATGCCACCTGCGACGAGTACTTCGCCAACAATAATGTAACGTTGATGCAAGGCATCCCCGGACTGATTAGTGGAGTCATTTCAGGTGAGAGCAGCAAATTTCCTCTTTGGACCATTTTAAAAATTGTAATTATTTGTATCAATTTGTAGTTTTCAGCCAAGAAAGTGAAATTTGAATCAATAAGCACTTTTTAATGCTTTTGTCTTATAGCTGGAAGTGTTAATAAGTTTAAGTCAGAAACTGGTGGTGCTGCTGTTGAACACTGATCAGGTCTTTGAGTACAGATGTTGTTTCAGTTCCCTGAAAAAGACGTTCACAATTACTGATTGTTTTGATCAAATATAAAGTTAAACTGTTTAAATAGGCTACTTTTTAAAACATCTGGTTGATCATGATTTTGATTTCTCAGATGTCTTAATTTTTTTTCCCACTACAGTGGCGCTTGAACGTTTGTGAACTCTTTATAATTTTCTATATTTCTGCATAAACATGACCTAAAACATCATCAGATTTTCACACAAGTCCTAAAAGTAGATAAAGAGAACCCAGGTAAACAAAAAAATATTTAACTTATTTATTTATTGAGGAAGATGATGATTCCCCCCCCCCCGGTGCAGCAATAACTGCACTAAGCATTTCCAGTAACTGTTGATCAGTCCTGTTCACCGACTTGGAGGAACTTTAGTCCATTCCTTCGTACTGAACAGCTTCAACTCTGGATGTTGGTGGTTTCCTCACATTAACAGCTGCTTCAGGTCCTTCCACAACATCTGGATTGGATTAAGGTCAGGACTTTGACTTGGTCATTCCAAAACATGAACTTTATTCTTCTTGAACAATTCTTTGGTAGAACATCTTGTGTGCTGAGGGTCATCGATTCACTGCATGACCCAGCTTCTCTTGAGATTCACTTCATGGACAGATGTTCTGACATTTTCCTTTAGACTATTAATAGTCCTTTTGTATTGAATGCTTTTTGAAAATTTCCTTTAGAGTTCTCTGATATAATTCAGAATTCATTGTTCCATCAATGATGACAAGCTGTCCTGGCCCAGATGCAGCAAAACCGACCCAAACCATGATACTACCACTACCATGTTTCACAGATGGGATCAGGTTCTTATGCAGGAATGCAGAGTTGCCCTTTCTCCAAACACAACACTTTTCATTTAAACTAAAAAGTTAAATTTTGGTCTCATCTGTCCACTAAACATTCTTCCAACAGTCTTCTGGTTTGTCCACGTGATCTTTATCAAACTGCGGACGAGCATCAATGTTCTTTGTGGAGAGCAGTGTCTTCCTCCTTCAACCCTGCCGTGAACCATTGTTGTTCAGTGTTCTCTTGATGGTGGACTCATGAACATCAACATTAGTCAATGTGAGAGAGACCTTAAGATGTTAGAAGTTACTCTGTGGACCTTTGTGACCTCGCCGACTATTCCACGCCTTGCTCTTGGAGTGATCAATGTTGGTCCATCACTCCTGGGGAGGGTAACAATGATCTTTTATCCATTTGTTCACAATCTGTCTGACTGTGGATTGATGGAGTCCAAACTCTTTACAGATGTTTTATAATCTTCTCCAGCCTGATGAGCATCAACAACTCTTTCTGAGCTCCTCAGAAATCTCCTTTTTTCCTGACACGATCCACAAACATGTTGTGAAGATCAGACTTTGATAGATCCTTGTTCTTTAAATCAAACAGGGTGTCCATTCACACCTGATCATCATCCATTGATTGAAAACACCTGACTCTAATTTCACCTTCAGATTAACTGATAATCCTAGATGCTGTGGCTGAGTGATTAGAGTCGTCGTCTTCCAATGGGAGAGTTGGTGGTTTGATTCCACCAGCAGGCACATGTTGAAGTGTCCCTGGGCAAGACCCTGAACCTCTCATTGTTTCTGATGAGTGTCCCATTGATGTGTGAATGTGATCTAAAACACTGATTAGTTTCGACAGATTCAGATTTGTGTCTGTAGTACTTGTACTTCAGAGACTTTGATGTGTGTTGAGGCATATAGTAGGCAGAAGCAGCTACTTGTGATCTGAGGAAACCTTTGTGTGGATATGATGTGTCTCTAAATGGTAAATGGACTATACTTATAGAGCACTTTTCTATCTAATTAAGATACTCAAAGTGCTTTCCAACACAATCTGTGCCTCATTTACCTCCACACAGTCACACTCTTACAGACTCTGCTGCATCTCTACAAATCTAATTTGAACAAATCATTCTATAGAGACGAATCAGTGCTTTTTATGGTCACTTGCCTACATGGATGGGACACGCATCAGAGGCAATGAGGGGTTCAGTGTCTTGCCCAAAGACACTTCAGCATGTGACTGCTGGTGGAATTGAACTCTCGTCTCTCCCACTGGAGGATGACTGCTGTAACCACTCAGCCACAGCCGCCCCTCACCCTCTACTGTTAATGTTACTTGGCTGTGCATCCTGAGGAGGAAGCATAAAAACTTCAGCATTGTTTGGTACATGCACTGGATTACTCCTCCACATGGGCAGCAGTGTTTGTCAAGCTGTCTGAGACATTAGGCTGGGAGCTCTATCCAACTCTCAGTTGTCAGCTAATCAGCCTGTTAGGCTTTTACTTGAGCGATAGCTGCGTCTCTCTCTTTTTCCTCTTTTAATGCATCTACAGTAGCTCGGATGTCTGCTTGCTCTACCTGAAGCTGTATTTCCTGCTTTGAAGAAGCTGCACTGCGCTGCTTCAGGTCTTGCTCTTGCTGTGGTCACAGCCACATTAACAAGAGGCAGATGACTGAGATGACAATGAGCTCACGGAGCGAGCATCATCAGTGACTTTGCTGGAGTTGTTAGCTCTCTGTTAGGCCTTCTTTTCAATTCAGTTACTTATAAAGCACCAAGTCACAACAGAAGTCGTCTCAGGGCACTGAACAGAAACATTCATACATAAAAATAATAATTTAACAATAATAAGTTTTCATTGTGAAGTCTTCGTTAGCCAACCAGGCTAGCCATACAACCAGCTGGACACAGGCGTGGGTGCATGAAGAAACTTCACGGGGGGGTAAAACAAACATAGTAGCGCTACAACTCTGAAAGACAGCAACATCCAAGCAGCTGCCTTTAGCTGCGTTAGCAAACAACCAGAGGTGGAAAGAGTACTGAAAATTTGTACTCAAGTACAAGTACTGTTACACTGCTTAAATTGTACTCAATTACAAGTGAACGTACTGGTGTTATAAAAATATTTAAGTAAAAGTACAAAGTAATCTTCTCAAAAACTACTTAGAGTATCAGTTACCGGTACTTTTTAACCAATTGATGTTTTATTGTGTTGTCAATGGAAGTCATTCAGTTTGATTTACTGTATATAATAAATATAAATACAACGGCTACATTTAAAGCTCATTTCTCAGACGCGCAGAAGCTCCGTCTTATTTTAGTACCATGCAAACCGATGGCAGCGACAGAAGATCTTTGCATATTTAGCCAAACTAATAACCCAAACATACAAACAATAAAACATCAATATTATACAGGTAGCTGTAAAACCTTGTATTCTGCAATATGTTTTTTGAGATTAGATGCTGAAGTCTTGTATATCACAAAGTTTACATCTGGACCATGTCTCCTTTTCACCCTCTGTACATGAACCATTCCTCCGGTACGACCACGTGCACTCGTCCTCAGCCTTTACCTCATAATTTTTTCTGTGGACAGTGTCCTCTGTCTCCATTTTGGGTTTTTCTCCAAATCTTCGGTCCATAAATGGCTCTCTACTCTACGGAGTTGTCCTTTGCTTACGTCATAGGTAAATGAAGCATTCGTGAACCGAGAGCTTTATTGGCTACAAAGATGAACGGTTTGAGTATTAATTCACATTACAGCCGTACTCAGTAGCTCCTTCTGATTTTGAAAGTAGCAAAGTAGATTGCATGGTCTAAACTGTACTTAAGTAAGAGAAAAATTACACTCTTGAAAGAAATACTCATAATAAAAGTACAAGTACCTAAAATATCTACTTAATTACAGTAATGTGAGTATTTGTAATTCATTACTTCCACCCGTGCAAACAACTTATGCACTGGTAACCAGTATTGGTGGATGGATTGAGATAATATAATCAATGCTGCCTTAAGGGTTGATATTGAATTATATTTGTACAATAGTATCAGTACTGTAGTTTCAGGTTTTCAGTATGCGCTGCTGTGATTTTGTGGCTTTCCATGGCTGTGTGTATACTTCCAGCTGCTTCCAAATGCATGCAGCGGAGCCGCCACAGTCCGCTCCTCCTCCCAGTCTGTGCCTTGATGCTGTACCATCATGTTACTCAAGGTCTGGTTTATTCAGACCTGGCTGCAGCAAAAAATGGCAGACAGGCAGAAGAGTGCCTTGTTGTTGTAAACCGATACAAGTATTAATGTAATGTCTATTTACTCATTAACTTTGTTCAGACTCTCTGTTTGATTTTATTTAAATAATAATCTAATAGAAACAAACATAAAAGTTGTAAAACTTCATTCAGATTTAGCAATATGGTGCATCCACTTTAATTTTTACAAAGTTTTTTATCTGTATAGTAATATTGATACAGATCCTTATTTATCGGGTATCGGATCGATACCAAATATTTCAGTATCGCTTACCACTAATAACTGGAAACAAATGACTTCGTACATGCAAACATCCACAAAATGATGCTATAACAACCTATAGACTATGATTGACAGCATTTAGGAACAGAACAACAATCCTTTGTAGCTGTATATTAAATAGGACGTGTTTCCCCTGAGTCATTACTTGTGTGCAACTGTTGGCTTGTAGCTCTGAGCCTACATTTATTTATAATTATTTTAGACTACACTTTTTAACATTCTATTACACACGTAGGACTTTTATTAAGTATTTAAAAGTCCAAATGTTTTTCTTTCAGCTGCTTCACCCAGCACTGACCACTGAGCTACTGCAGCCCCATTTAAAAGCACTAATGGAAAACAAATAAATGCATGCTGCGAGTTTATTAGTTATTTTATGAGGCTCCTAGTTTTGAATGTCAAAGTTTTGCCTAATAAGTTTGCCTCTAACTTTGTGTACCCTATTGTTAAATGAACTTATTGATGTCTTTTCTTTTTTTTTTTTTTTGTAGAAAACATGTGGTCAGAGTACGGCCCTCTTGATATGTTGGTAGAAAACAAGAAGCTGCCTTCGTCTGGGGAAAGTGTCTCTGCCCAGGATATGTACCGACCCTATGTAGTCAATGATATTGCCACATTCTTCACGCTGCTGGTTGGCATCTACTTTCCCTCTGTCACTGGTGGGATACACAATGAAACACAAACTATTTGAGTTTACATGGAGTTTGGTTTTATTTAAGTGCCTTTTTCTTTTTTTTTACTTTTAGGAATTATGGCTGGTTCAAACAGGTCCGGTGACTTGAGAGATGCACAGAAGTCCATCCCTATTGGGACCATTCTGGCTATCGCTACTACCTCCTTCATCTGTATCCTTACCTCATGCACTGTACCACAGAAATAAAGATAAGGCCTAACTCAGGTGTAAACAGTGGTGTAACATGTTGAAGAGTCTTCAGATTGATTGACGCTTAATGTTCCCCAACTACTGCAAGCGCTCCAGTTTATGCATAATTACCAGGAAGGCTGTTTGAGAGTACGTTAAACTAAAATTAATTTGTGTAAGCCAAAAATAGACAGCCTGTTTTCACATGTGAGACTGATTCATTGATTGATTCGATTGTATTTCTTTTCCTGAGCAGCACGTTCCAGACATCTCCAGTGTGGTTTTGTTTGGCGCTTGCATCGAGAGAGTTCTCCTTCGAGACAAGTGAGGTTTTTACATAGAAAGGTTGTTTTTCTTTCGACTGCTCCCTTATGCAGGTGTTGCCACAGTGGAAACAGACTTATATGAAACATTTGGCAATTATTTTATTCTGAATACTCTTTCCTGATGAAACCTGGGCTGCAGCCGGAGAATGAAAAGACTGCTGCACTGACCCCAGAGCTCCTGCAGCCCCAGACTTTAACGTATAAACATACTGTGCATATTTAAAAAATTATAACACTGATAGTCTTGAAATCTGTTTAAAAAAAAAATTAATTTGATTAAAGTATTTTCCAGATGTGGAAATGTATGGAACAAAGAAACAGAGTTCGAAAACCTGTGTTTTCATGATGGATTACTCTTAAATACATAAAAAAATAAAGTACTAAGTTTATTCCAGTGGCTCTATTCAGGGGTCAGCACAGTGAGCAAAGCTGAATGAAAGATTTGTCAATTTGTTTTATGTGGGATGACCTTCCTAATGACACTTGGGTTTACGTTCGTGCTCCAAGTGTCTGGTAAAGCCAAATAAAACAACTGTAACTGAGGCATGGTTGGGGAAACTTGGTGAACTTTGAGGTGTCCCTGTTGAGGCATAACTGGCCAGAGATGACATATACATTGTTCCAGCTGGCTTTAACTTGCACAATACTCTTCCTGACTTTAACACTAGGATGTAGCTGTACCATGGTTATGTAGCACCTCCTAGTGTTGAAAAATAGTACAGCCTTAGAAAAAAGGTGTATCATTCATATAGGATTATTTTTCTTCTGAGTCGGCCTGTATGGCCAGAACTCCTTGTTGAAGGTGCAGCATTAGTATTACAAAGTTTGTCTGTTGCCGTGGTGACCCAATAGTTTGTTCTAAAACAATCTTGCTCCAAAGCCAGGGATATTCAAATGCGTGCACCAATCAAAGCCGGTATGACAAATTTCATCCCTGGGGAAAATAAAATACTGTCTCCTTAGTGCCCCCTGTATTTTAGAATGTAGCCCTCAAGGTTTTTTGGATGCACGTAGATACATTTAGGTACAAATGTTGCTGAACTGTAGACACACAAAACACTCTCTTGAAGCTAAAGGCTTGGGAAATTGGTCATTTTTTTATCAAATCTGACATGCGCCAGATTTGACTTTAGTCTGCCATTGTTTCACTCTGCATGGATGCATAGATGGAAATTCACCAAAATTCACACAATGCAAATTTATCTAATCTTAAATAAAACCTGTGAGAGGCAAGTGTGGCACCGTGGCTTCATAGCACACCCTGACACACGAAGGCCTCTACAACAAAAAATATTTTTATTGTAACTATCAAAAGTCCAGGTCCCAGAGACCTAGTTATTGTTTGTACTGAGAGAATACTAGAAACATCTGTAGTGCTCTTTTTGTTCAGTAAGAAAACTTTTACTTATATTGCAAGTGTCACTGCACTTGTTGCATTCCTTTAAAAACAGACTTTCTAAAACTATTTATTGACAGACATTTCAGATCTAACTAAAATGGTGTCTAATCTTCAGGCTATGTCCAGAAATGACATAAGGAATTTTCATTCCAATTTCCCTAAGGGTGAATGATAAATGGACTGTACTTATATGGCTCCTAGATACTCAAAGCTCTTTACAACAACAATCTGTGCCTCATTTACTCATTCATGCATCTCTACAAAGATTAATCAGAGCTTTATCACATTCATACACCGACGGGACACACATCGGAGGCAATGAGGGGTTCAGTGTCTTGTTCAGGGACACTTCAACTTGTGACTGCTGTTGGAATCAAACCCCCAACTCTTCCATTGGAGGACGACTGTTCTAACCACTTATCCACAGCTGCGCAGTGTGCGCTAGCTGTGTGAAATAAATACTCCAGTTGTTTTTCTGCCGGCTGAAAACCATTGCAGCATGTTCTGGTGGGCTGAGCATCATAAAACTTGGCAGTAGTGTAAAAATGGTGAGGTGCAAAAATCCAGATCTGGGCAAAGCAATGTGGCTTGCTTTGCTTCTGATATTGTCAGAGGCAAAGTGGCCTTCAGGGTGAAGGTCCAGGTGCTCTAGTGCCTGAAAGAGGATGAGAATTTCCCCCACAGTGGATAAGATATGGAGAGACGGTGGTCTGGATTGCACCGGTGGGCGAGGGCCCTTCGTCGCTGCTTGAAGTTCTGTTTTGAATTGAAGTTGTTTAATACTTGCTTTTGTGCTGCAGGTTTGGTGACTCTGTGAAAGGGAACCTTGTTATAGGCACTCTGTCCTGGCCCTCACCCTGGGTCATTGTAATCGGCTCATTCTTCTCATGTTGCGGGGCAGGCCTCCAGAGTTTGACAGGTGCCCCTCGCCTGCTACAGGCTATTGCACGGGATGGCATTGTTCCTTTCTTACAGGTTAGACATAAATACAAATCTTTTTAAAACATTTATTCTAACATGCTTCACTGTTGACGCTTGACTGTACCTGTTTGAAGGTGTTTGGTCACGGGAAGGCTAATGGAGAACCTACATGGGCTTTGTTGCTGACTGCTGGGATCTGTGAAATTGGCATCATCATCGCCTCCTTGGACGCCGTAGCGCCAATTCTTTCCATGTCAGTAATTGATTTTGTAGAAGTACTCTTTGTATTTCAACAGCTCATCAGGCATCAACTGTGCCCTCTTAAGTATTCCACTTCTTATAGCCATTTAAAAAGTAATAAAGTGAAGCTGTTTGTGTGAGTTGACCTCTCCTCCCCACAGGTTTTTCCTCATGTGCTACCTGTTTGTCAACTTGGCCTGTGCTGTTCAGACCCTGCTGAGAACACCCAACTGGAGACCACGCTTTAAATACTACCACTGGTAGGCAGTCAAGTGTTTACCATCGCAGGTGTACTATTATTCATTGTGGATTTAATGATTGTAGGGTCTAATACATCTCCACCTCTGGGTCTAAACCGTTTTTATTTCATTGAGATTTTCTTGAATGTAGAGGAAAAATGATTGTATGAATTCATTGACATAGTAAGACTGAATGTGGACTTTTAAGTTGCTATGTAAATGTTTTTCTCTTCTATAGGGTCCTGTCCTTCCTGGGAATGAGCTTGTGTCTTGCCATTATGTTCATTTCTTCCTGGTATTATGCTATTGTTGCCATGGTCATTGCAGGCTGCATTTACAAATATATCGAGTACAGAGGGTAGGTCTGGTGCTGCTTTCAAAATTTTTGTGGTAGGATATTGAGCATAGAAAGTCATTAAATTTATATGTAGAAAACTGACGAACTTTGTTGGCACTGGCAGAATTGTTTATTTAAGCCCATAAAAATTGTACTTTATTAAAGAAAATGTTTAAACCATCAAAAAGTAGAAATTGTCTGTCATTGTATTATTTACTTTTGTTTTTTACTAAAACCTCTTTTGAAAACTTCAATAGGGCTGAGAAAGAATGGGGTGATGGCATCCGTGGTCTCTCTCTTAATGCAGCCCGCTATGCTCTCATCCGCCTGGAGGAGGCGCCGCCACATACGAAGAACTGGAGGTACAATATTCCATCTGAGTCTGTGGATTTATGTTTGTGAACGTTTTTAATTAGGATAGAGATTCTTGTATCACATTCACAGCCAATTTTAGATCTTGTACTTAGTATTTAATTGTAGCACCTTTAGTGGCAATTCCAGCCAAATTTTACAAATGCATATAAGATTCAGAAATGCAGAGTTTTTCAAATGTACACATTTCAAATTGCACAAGTAGGAATGTGCTGTGCAAATAAATTGTCAAATACATTTGCACAAATCACCTGACGGATGAATCAGCTTGCCTGTGATCTTATTTTGGAGACTTTACCGCTTCAGATTCACAAAAGTAATGCTGCGTTCAAGGCTGGTGAAAAGCTGGGGTATCTGAAACTTAGCATATATTTGTACAGTAGTCCCTCATTTATCACTGGGGATGCGTACCCTGAAGCTCCATGATAAATGGAAAACCGTGAAGTAGGAATAGTAGTGCAAGTAGTAAAGTAATAATTTCTCCAACTTTGAATACAGCATTACTTTTGTGAATCTGAAGCGGTAAAGTCTCCA